GTCCTGTTTGATGCCGTACAGGGACTTAAGCAGTTGGCACACTTGGTTGGGATTTGCGTTGGAGCCGTGTGGTAGCTCGACGAAGATCTCAGCGTCAACAGGTGCATAGAGAAAAGCGTTGGCGACGTCGATATGCCGCAGCTTCTTCTTCTTCATAGCGGCTATTGCGAGGAGAATTCGCAATGAGGTATGACGGCTGACCGGAGCGAATGTTTCGGTGAAGTCGTGTTCGTGCTCTTGGTCGAAGCCGCGTACGACCTAGCGTGCCTTGAATTTGTCGATGGTGTCGTCTGCCTTTGTCTTTATACGGAAGACCCATTTTCCGGTAAGGACTGTCTTGTTTCGTGCCACGCCGATGGGAACTATTTTCCAGATGTTGCGCTCTTCTAGCGCCTTTAACTCCCTGTCCATGGCTTCGCGCCATTTTTCCCTATGCTCCCCCCCAAGAGCCTGCTGAACTGTGGCAGGCTCCTTAGGAGGTGTCGTGCCGTGGACTGCGGTGACGAGGCCAAGTATCTGGAGGCCACTCTGTGTGTAGCGGGGAAGTGTCGTGTTCTCGGGATAAGCTGCTTCGTCTCCCGCTTCTGGGTCAGGTATGAAATTGGGTCCTATGCGTTCTGCTTCGTTGATATTGACTCTTGCAGGTGTAACGTATGTCAGAATCCCAACCACTAGACCATTGGGATAAAAGGGCTGGTTAAGTAGCGGGTCAGTGCGCCCATAACCCCCCAGGCCAACGTGCCTGTAACCCTTCCCTAGGATCAATCGGGGATCACCAGTGGACCTCTGACAACGTAACCATTGTCCGCGAAGTGGTAATATACTTCGGCGTTGATGCTTTCGCGAGGATTTTCATCGTCCATCGGTACGTCAACTGAGCAGTAAGGTAGAGGTCCGGCTTCCTCCGAGGCTTCATCCACGTTCTGCTCATCCCAGTCAGCTTCGTCTGCTGCCGAGGCGAAGGCTCGGTCACCATAAAAACCACCTGTGGGGTCCCGGTCTTCTTCCAGGCTGGCAAGGTATGTCGGAAGTGTGAGTCGCTTGTAGAAAATGACATCACGTGCTGCTACTGTTTCCTTTGAGTGGACGTCGAAAATCTTCCACGCGTTGTAATTCTTTTCAATGCCCAGGTGTAGGCCCCACTGTGCGCGTTGGGAGAATCGGCCGGCTCGTGCAGCTGGGGGTCGGTACTGTACCATGCAGCCGAAAACTCTCAACATTTTCGTGCTGCCCTGTTTTCCTGTCCACAGCAGGTGCGGTGATGCGTTGTTCGGGAGCGATGATGACGAGAGCAAGTTGTGCAGCATGACAGCGTGGTCCATTGCTTCGGGCCATTGGTGATTGGGTAGCCGCATGCCACGTAGCAACTTGCGCATGGTGTTCTGGAGAGTCCTGTTCATCCTTTCTGCTATGCCTTGCTGTTGGTGGGCGTAGGGAAGGGAGATGAGCCGCTTGATTCGTCTCTCAGCCAAGTACTGCTTGAACTTCTGTGAGGTGTATTCTCCCCCCCCCCCCCGTCAGAGTGGAAGCTTTTTAGCTTAACTCCTGATTCCCGTTCTACTACTGGGAGCCAGGCAACGAAGGCTTCGAAGGCCATGTCGCGGCTTGGAAGGTTGAGATGCCAGACGTAGCGAGTGGCGGCGTCGATGAACGTGATGGTGTAGCTGTATGCTCCTTGTCCATTTTCGCGATTGTACAGGATGTCGCTGCACACTTTCTCCGGAGGCGCGTAAGTTGGAGCACTAGGATTGTGGTGAGAGAAGAACAGCTGATGCGGTAAGTCGGCTTCGGGGCAGGTAAAGCACGTTCCACGGGCTCGTCGAAGTTCACTTCCGTCGGTTAGGAGTAGTGAGTCTTTGTCGAGCACGCCCGCTCTGATCGTGTTATTTAACACCGTGTTGCTTGGATGTCCCATTCTTGCGTGCCAGGTTCCTTCGGTGGCGCGATGTCTGGGTGAGCGCCTGTACACGTCGGAGTTTGAGTAAAAGCCAGCGGTGAAGTTGGCGCTTCGGTGAACTCCTCGTTGAAAAGGAGCCAGATGTTGCGCAGTTGTCGGAGGAGTGTCTTCGACGAAGACCAGTGCCGTTGTCTCTGCTGCTACCGTTGTTGTCTCTACTGCTGCCGTTGTTGTTTCTGCTGCTGCCGATGTTGTTTCTGCTGCTGCCGTTGTTGTCTCTGCTGCTGCCGTTGTTGTTTCTGTTGCTGCCGTTGTTTTTTCTGCTACTGCCGTTGTTGTCTCTGCTACTGCCGTGTGTTGAAACGTTGCTAATGCCCTTGTTCGTTCTGCTTCAGGTATGGTGTGCGAGTGCCAGAAGCCTCCAGAGCTGAAGTCGGGGTCAAGATCTGGCGGGTGTGTCCAAGAAGTAAAGTTGACGATGGCGTCGCTGTCAGCGGTGCTTAAGTCTGGAACAAAGTCGAGGACGAAGACGTTGTTCTTCAACACCGCTTTCCCGATGTAGAGTCCGCCTCTCCCGTGGTACAACTTGAACTCTTCGGTGGTGCTGTCTGTTTCGAGGTGAATGCCTTTCGCCATCAGCTGGCTGACGCTGAGTAAGTTGTAGCCGAGTCCCTCCGCGATTAAGACCTTTGACATTTGCAGTATAACGTTCGTCTCCCGTGATTGAAGTTGGACTACGCCTTGTCGTCGTGTGCGAGGTTCTGGTTGTTGGCGACGGTGATGACGACTTCACGTTGGAGTTGATGTTCTCGTTGAACGAAGCGGCCTGAGGAACATATGTGCTGACCGCAGCAACTATCCAAGAACCAAGTGTCCTTCCCAGATGGTTCGCTTTGTGCGATGGCTGCATACGTTGGGTTCGGCTCCAGTAGTTCGCGTCGCGGGGTGCTTTCGTCGAGTTGTTCTTCTGGTGAGTAGTGCGGGGGTGACTCGGTGATGAAGGAATCAGTTAATCTTGCCATGCAGCTGACGATGTTTCTTGCTCCTTGTGCAGGTTGTGTCGTCGATGTCATTGAAGCTTGGACTTGAGTGGTGGGATGTGCTTGCGTTGAGGTAACTTGGCTGCTTTAAGGTCGAAGTTGACGTTGCGGCGGCGTTGACTGCTGTCGATTTGGGCAGTGTGTGCGAGGGTGACCAGACGTCTTGCAGATGTGACAGAACGGAGGTACGGGTTTCGGTTGATGCCGGGTGTTGTTGTTGTAGCGCCGTTGGGTGTGGAATGCAAATTCGGGTACTGGCGTTTTCTTCTTGTGCCGCTCCTCTTGCAGATCCATGTCTTGCTGCTCAGCGTGAATCTCGGAGAATGGCTTGGGTGGAGTGCCATTGAGGCCGCCGATGATGACTGTCACGAAGGCGTCTTCAGATATTGAGCCTCCGCATCGAAGAAGTTTGTCGCCTAATTCGCGACAATGGCTGATATACGCCATTCCCTTTTCGCCAGGCTTCATTTCCACTGTTGTCAGCTGTGCCATTAATCGACTCTGATTCACGCTGTCTGTTGCCTGATACAGGTTCTTCAAGTGGTTGTACGCAAGCTCGGCAGAGTTGCCGTATCCCCGATAGGACCGGATGTTCTGCTGCTGGTTCGGTGTGATGTTGCGCAGTAGAATCGTGTACGCCATCATGGACTGATATGTGTACTGCTGCTTGTCGTATTGCGTTCCATGTGTTGGGTATGGCAGAGACTCGTCGAAGAATCCAAGAATCTGCGCACCTTCCATCATCAACTCGAATTCAAATGACCAGGTGAAGAAATCCTTTCCGTCGAATGGTCTTGACATCTGTAGCTTTAAGACGTGCGCGAACTGCGACTGAACTTGAAGTGCATCCAATGTCTTCTCTTGCTCAGGTGAAGGCTGCTGGCGCGGCATGAAGCTGACGGAATCGCGCTGGGGTTCGTACGGAACGAAGATAGGCTGCTGTTACTGATTTCCTCGCGCGTAGGATGAACCGTCGAGGCTCATCGGTATCACATCGTTGTTGTTGTTGCTGTTGTACGACTGCGTAGATGCAGTTTGCTGATGCTGCTCGTAGAAGGACATGAAGGAGAAGAATTTCTCCATCATGCTTGGGTCGAAGCCTGCAACTCGATTTGCAGGGGTTTCGGTAGATCCTGCTGCTGGTCTTGTTGCCGTACCCTCCTCTATCTGTAGGCCAGAGGCAGGAGGTGGAGTAGGACTAGTGCCGGGAGAGCCATTAGAGGAGCTTCTCTCCTTCTGAGTAGCCATGCCTTTTGATGTCGTAGATGTGTTGGGAATAGTTGAGTTTGTCCTGACAACCCTCATACCATGTTGGACTGAGAAAAGCCCTTAGGATCTTTGCAGGGCTAAACTTTGGGTAGGAATGATGTAATAGCGGAAGCGTTTAATGACAAGTACTTGAACCACCTTGCGCTGGTATGTGAGGGCAAAGTAGATTAATTAAAACAAAGAGATACAAGCTGTTATAAGATTACAAGGAATACGAAGAGATATAGTTAATAACCGTTTTACTGTTGCTGTTGTGGTTCGATACAGTGACGACTCGGGCAACTGCTCGATAACGAGTCAGCTGTTTGTCCTTGCTGTCGTACTGTAGTTGTCGAGTCAAAGTTGGCGTGACCTTTGACCTTCGTGTAACCTCCAGCGGTTACCTTTCCTTGTTAACCTCCGATGGTTGACTCGCCGTTGCTTCGCTGTTGTTTGCTTCGTTTACGATTCAGTGTTTCGACACATTAGGAGCGCTTAAGTCACTGTTTCCAACACCAGCAAGCAGTGTCTACTTATTCCATGCGCTTACCATAACTCATAGCACTGGGCAGACAGAACCTCTGTGCCCAAGACTGGGGTAGGGACAAGCAAAGTGAATTGATACTGAATAATCAACTATACCAATCAGAGCCAAGTTTCCAAGGCAGTGCCTGGCAGGGAAAATAACTCTCCATCAATACATAACTCATACAACGCATCTACCTAGAACAACCCATAGCAACACTAGACCAAATCAGATGCAGCCATCTAGATGCCATTTCCTACAGCATACATATCTTCCGTTTGTGTCACACCTAAGAAGAGACATTCGTGAAGTAAGTGACAGTGCGGCCATTGAGGGGCTCGGGAAGGCGGTTGTCAGTGCGCTCCGTGTTCTGCTTGGCAATCAGGTTCATAAAAGTGATGGCCTGTTGACAACAGAGGGAAAGAAGAAAAGCAGGGATTAAACAAGCAATCAAGCAAAGCAGGACAACCAAAGCAATGAACAAGCCGTAACAGGTAAAAGCAGCTGAAAGTTCGAGAATCGCTTCAATAAATACCCGAGACACGGAGAGGAATTTGGCCTTGCGCAGCACGTGCCACTCGACGATATCGCTGCAGGCGGGTGTGGTGAGCGAGCCGGAGTAGCGCCAGAAGCCCATGGAAGTATCGATCATCTCCGTCCAAAAGTTCTCGGGAACGTCAATGGTGGTGTTGGTGTCCACCCCGGGTGGTACCTTGCTCTGCCAACTTAGAAGCCAGCATGAAGTTGGGGGATGGAGGGGAGGGAAGGGAGGAAAGGGGAAGGCTGAGGGAGTGTCCAGAAGCCCATGGACGGGTCAATCATCTCCGTCCAAAAGTTCTGGGGAACATCGATGGTCATATTGGTGTCCACCGCAGCGGGTACCTTGCTCTGCCAGCTGAGGGAGAAGAGAATGAGGTCGGGAGCACAGGGGTTGCGGGAAGAGAGTTTTGAGTCGACTCAGGAAACGTCAATGGTGGTGTTGGTTGTTGGAGATTGCGTGTGTTGGAAGCAAGGTGGTGGTGGGGCGTTTGTATGCCCCCAACCCACCGAATGTGTGACTTGTGCTCACCTTCGAGTGAGTTGCAGGTTTGCGTGGGGTTGAGGATTGACTTCGGAAGACCCATTCGATTCGGTGCCACATGGCAGCACCAGGAACATTCGAGACCCAAGGAGAATTCGGATCGGTGAAATTCGAGAGTCGAATTTCACCCTTTCGATGTTACTCGAACATTCGCGAGTGTAGCGGTTCGAGGTTACTTGTGCGATTCGATCTTGTTTGCATGCTATAAATCAATTTTCTTTGTATTGCATGCTATCATAGTGAAACTCAGAGTTCTTTGTACAAGGTACATTCGAACACAAATTCCAGAGAGCTTCTTTACTTGCATTCAAGAGCACCACCTAGCACGTGAACGCCTATATCTCGGAGAATACTTAGGCGATCGACGTGTTTGACGGCTCGTTGGAAAGCTAAGACAGAGGTCTATCGTTTAGAACAACTCCCAGTTCCTGCAAAGTAGAGGAGAGTCCTTTACATCATTGGTGTCCCCCCCCGCTGGTACCTTGCTCTGCCAGCTGAGAGAAAATAGATTAAGTTGCACAGGGGTTGCAGGATTGAGGGAGAGGAGAGAAAATGCAGAGGGAACTCCACTCGGAGGGAGCCCAGAAAACGGAGAAGGGGCGGGAAGAGAAATGAAAGAGAAAGTGGTGAGACAGTGCTGTGTAACTTCAGATTGGCAAACATGAAATGTCTCAGCAACGAGAGTGAAATGTTTGCACTCTTGCTCATAGCTTTGGCGTGAAGCACTCACACGTCGATCCAGTCGGAATTCTCGTGGTGGCGCTGCAGCCTGATCATGACTCCCACCACCGCTTGGGAGGATTTGTCGTTTTCAAAGTTGGCTTTTGGGTTGACTCAAAAGTCAGTGAGGTGTGAATCATTCACACGTCGATCCAGTTAGACTTCTCGTCGTGGCGCTGCAGCCTGATCATGACTCCTACCACCGCGAGGGACGTGTTGTCGTTCTCGTGCTGGTGCACGAAATGAGCCTCCATGGCTGCGAACAGCCCATTGACGGCGTGCTCCGAGAACGAGTGCACGTGCACCTGAAAAGAAGAAGAAAAAAACAGAGGTGAGATAAGTAACACAAGTGAAGAAATCGGTTGGAAGTATCCAGACAGCATGCTGAAAAGGGTGTTAAATAAACAAAAAATAAGGTGTATGAACCACTTGCGAACAGAAACAAGCCCTCGTACCTGTTTCAGAATAAATGTTCCTTTGCTGATATGGAGCTTGTAAGTCTTCTCCGGATTTGGAACGACCTCTGTCCAATACCACAGAACCAAAGACAAAGAGGGAATTAATGCGGACGACACGTTTAGGCCTTCATTTTTCTAACCAGTGCGGATTCACATATGTGTGCACGGTTACACATGCCGATACTTCAAACCAATCCAGAAAACTCATAGATCTCCACTGGAGATAATAAAAGGCCTGAAAAGTTGCGTGCCAGCAACTTCACAGTTGCTTTTCCGCAACTTTGGTTTCGGAGAAAAAAAGTATAGGTCAAAGGCTTCTGTGGCGAGGTGACTTCGAAGTTGCTGGCAGCAAAGGGAGGGGGGTTGGTTCACCGAGACTTACGAACGGTGTATCCGTGGTTGACAACGCTTGCGGTGGTGGCGGCGGAGTCGTACTCGAGAACGAACTTCTCCGGCGCGCTCTCCTCCTTCGCCTCGTCCATCACGATGTTGATCGGCGACTGCTTCTCGCCCGTCTGGCAGTCTCCCTGCCACAAAAGATGGAGAAGCATTAGAAGAAGGTATAAATAGCCAGAAATCATACGACCCTTGTAAGTTCACAAAAAACCATAGATCAGAAAAATCCGAAACCTTTGAAGTGCGTAGGAATCACTGCCGACACAGACTCTGGACATGTCAAGATGAAAAACGAGAGTCAGGCAGCACCCACTCCCCAGTCGAGGCCACTCTGGCTGTAGCTGACTTCTGCATTCGCGGCGCTAACTACGGCGAGGAGCGCGAGGGAGAGATCAAGAGGCGCACGAGGTAATTCATGGCGACAGAGTCGATCAGTAACGGAGCGGACAGAACGATTTGAAGAGGAATAGTATGATGGAACTGAGCACCCCCCTTCGCTTCATTTATTCATGTGGGACAGATGTTCGGTGGTGGGAACCAGTGCCACAGTAACCACGTATTCAGCTTTCGTCAGCTGCGTGCTGTGGCCTATGTTGGAGCAGCTCTCGCGAGTTGCGAAAAGATCGCTAAAGCAACCAGCATTTGAATATTATTCGCTAGGCTCTTCGAAACGCGTGTTGGTGAAGATGCTCCACGAACCACCCTTCATGTTAAGGATAAACACCCTCATTGAATGAATCGACAAGGTTATTCTACAGTACCTCTTTTGTTTTAGCCAGAACCGACTGATCCGCGTCGTGCAAACGAGTGACCCAGTCAATCGTTTGTGACTTTGTTGACCCTTTTGAGTTGGAATTGGGCTTGTCGCGTCCTTTTCCGACACGCACTTTCCCTTTTCGTTCCGTTCAATCACATCCCACCTAACCACCGTAAGTGAAGTCTGGCATTTCCAGGTTCGGGAGGGAGCCCGCCGAACCGAAAATCCGAGCTACGCCCTGCCAGCTCAGCTCATCCAATCGCTTCGGTCAGTGAGGACGATAGGCTGATATGCAGTTATCCGCAGCGACGGCGTCGCGCGTGGCGATAGGGAGGAGAGCGTGCTTGTACTGTACTGTACGGAATTACGCGGTTCGGATGCTTGCAGGACAACTTTCTGGCGAACACACAGAAAGCAGCAAAACCTGTATGTCTATTCAAGCATGAACCATTTATTCGATCCACATGATTTTCTGAAACCCACTGGACCTAAACCTTGCCCGCCATAGTGTTTCTGAAAAGGAAAGGGAATGAAGAAAGAAAGGGAGAAGGAAAATGAAACTGCCAAAAAGAACCCAAATGCAGCACACATAAAACCCCTGTTGGTGCAACCCTACGGTTTGCACTCGGCTTGTTGTCCGTGTGCGTGAATGTGTGTGTGTATGGAATGGTATGAGGGCATGGGATAATATATATTTCATGCTTATAATTGTGTGTGAATGTTGAGTCATGATGTCGAGTGTGTGTGTCGAGTCAATAGCGAGTTATCGCTAGACGCGTGTTACGCGGTCGTTTGTGTCTCGCGCGCGGTTTCTATTTTGTCGTGCGCGGTTTCTATTTTGTCCTGTGTCGAACGTTCGGCGTGTCGCAGGTGTGTGCAGCAGACCCATCAAGAACTCAAGGATGAGTTTGTGATGAAGAGCCCGAGCCTTGGTGTCAAGCCTCAAGTGATTTCGAAGCTAGCCAAAAGGGTACACCTCAAGATATTGAAGATAGTTACATTACTTTGTGTAGTGTAACATTTCACTTGGTGTAGGCCCTAGTGAAGGGTAGTTTCGAGACCCTTCGTGGTTGGGGACAGTGTGGCACTGTTCCACATCACTGTACCTCGGCTCTTGGGGTTTGTAGGAGCTGGGAGTCATTCCCAACTCGTAACTCTTCCTATCTTTTGTTCTAAGACTATAGTGGCTGCCATAGTACCGTTCGTTCAAACCGACGCTGTGTCGTCAATTCTTTATCAAATCGTGCAATCTAAATTGCTAATTGTAGACGACGTGAAGACGCTCCAGATCCAATTTGAATCAGGTCATTTGCAGCTGTGTGCAGAACGCTATCAACGTTTGAAGCCGCTGTGCAGAAATCCGTCTGTGCTCTCTATCTTTCGTTTTAGGCACATTCAAGCCTATTGTGACTATAACAACCCCCACTCAAGATACCCAATCAAAACGCCCAGTCAAGACACCCCATCAAGACATCCCATCCCACACCCCATCCCCCCCCCCCCCTTCAATCACATCAACGTATCGACCATGTACGGGGCCTCCACCCAGAGAGCCCCGCCTTCCACATCGACATCGTCCCAGAGGCCGGCATGGACACGAACTCGAAGGGAGCCAAGACCTACACCGCAAGGCTTGGCGATCGAATTCTTTGGGACCTTCATGAGGACAGGGATGTCTACAACGAGATGTGGCAGATCCCAGTGGTCCCTATGCGTAAGGAGAGGCAAGTGGCAGCAAGCATCAGCACCAAGGATGGAGCGGTCGGTAGCGACGATGGCGCGAACGGTCGCGCTAAGGAGAATGAGCTCAAGAAGAGCAAACCTGGAGGGACCAGCAAGTTCAGTGAACCTAAGGAGAGTGGTGCAGCAACCAAGGAGCAGCAAAAGGGTGAGGAGAACCCAGAGGCAGCAGCGGAGGAGGACTACGGAGAGAGTATGTGGGGCGCTATTGCGAGCGCGGCATTCTCCAATCGAACTTCGGCTACGGGGGAGTGTGATTGGCTCACCTTGCATCGGCGCATGGGGCATGTGGCCCTGCCCATCTTGCAGCAGCTAGTGAAGAATGAGATGGTTGCTGGCATACGTGTGAAGGGGGAGCCCGATGAGGTGCTTGGCTGCCCGACGTGCATTCAAGCCAAGTTCACCCGGTTTCCGTTCCCTAGTTCGGAGGCAACGGCAAAGGCACCGCTTGATGAGGTGGTGATGGACGTGGTGGGCCCCCTGAAGCTTGGAGCTGCTGGAGCTGAGTATTTTCTCACCATTGTCGACGTCTACACCCGCATGACTTGGGTGTACGTGCTGGCCAAGAAGAGCGACGTGGCTGAAACGTTGAAGACGGATTGGTTCCCGATGGTGGAGCGGCAACAAGACCGTCTAGTCAAGTCAATCCGCACCGATCGAGGGGGAGAGTTCCTGAGCAAGGAGTTTGGGTTGTGGCTGAAGAAGAATGGTATTCGGCACTCCCTCACCATGCCATACTCCCCTGCAATGAACGGCATCGCCGAGCGAGCGAACCGCACAATCACGGAGGCGGCACGCGGGTTGCTCATTGAAGCCGGGCTACCCGACTATTTCTGGCCTGATGCGGTGCGGAGCGCGTGTGTGGCCAAGAACAGAGCCTTGACTCATGTGGGAGCAGACAAATGGGTGCCCTATGTGGAGTGGCTAGGAAGGAAGCCAAAGGTGGATATGCTTCGTGTGTTCGGGTGCATGTGCATGGCGCTCGTGCCTAAGCATCTTCGGCACAACAAGCTTGGTGCCAAGGCGGTGTGGGCCGTGCACTTGGGCATGGCTCAAAACAGCAAGGGATGGCTTCTTTGGGACCCATTCACCAAGAAGTTCTTGGTGAGCAGGGACTGCAAGTTCATGGAGAACTTCATGTACAAGGATTGGAAGGCGGAGAATGAGGCGAAGATAGGCGTGCGGTTTGGGGAGGTGAAGAGTTCCGGTTTGGAGCATGTGGAGCTGCCTTTGGAGCTGAGCAGCGGCAGCACAACCACAAGGCAATCCTCCCTTGTGAATGGGGGAGAGGAGGCCAATGATGCAGAGGAAGAAGAGGAGGAGGTGCAGCAAGTGAGCGAGCGTGCACCGTCACTCCCTTCCCGTACTACGAGTGCTCCACGGATTCGAGCCACACCGCAGCAACGCCAAGGCCTTCAAGTCCCTGCAGCTGAGGAGGAAGGAAGGGGGAAGAGGAGAGTTCAACCCCCTAATAGGCTGACCTATGATGCGCCGGGAAAGCAGGGCAAGACAGCCCTGGCCGGAGCGGCAATGATGGTCGGAGACGACGAGGAGAGTGACTACGAGGAGTGTGCCTTCGCGTTCTTCTCTCCGGTGGAGATGCCGGGAGAACCAGCAACTCTCAAGGAGGCTTTGGAGAGTAGTGATGCTGAGGAGTGGAAGAAGGCCATGGAGAGTGAGCTGAAGAGCATCAAGGAGAATGACACGTTTGAATTGGTGGAGCTACCGGAGGGGCGTACGGCGATAACGTCCAAGTGGCTCTTCAAAATCAAGTCGGATGCCGACGGCAAGATCGAGCGCTACAAGTCTAGGCTTGTAGCCAAGGGGTACCAGCAGAAGGAGAAGGTGGACTTCAAGGAGCTGTTTGCCCCTGTGGTGAAGCCGACGACGCTGCGAACCCTATTCGCGGGAGCCGCCATCAAAGGATGGGTAGTAAAGCAAATGGACATCGTAACGGCATTCCTTAACGGCATCCTTGAGGAGGAGAGTTTTATGGCGCAGCCAGAGGGGTTTGATGATGGTAGTGGCAGAGTGTGGAAGCTGAAGAAGGCCCTCTATGGGCTGAAGCAGGCCCCTAGGCAATGGTACATGAAGCTGCGCGAAGTGTTGGAGGGGATCGGCTTCACTCCCTCAACGGCCGATCACTCCTTGTTCATGCTTGGCGAGGGGGAGCAGAGGAGTTTCATGGTGGTTTATGTGGATGACATCCTCATTTTCTCACCCTCTTCTGACCTTGTGAAGGAGGTGATGCTGAAGCTTCAAGACAAGTTCAAGTGCAAGGCCCTTGGTGACGTGAGCTTCTACCTTGGGCTCCACATCGAACGAGATGTGGAGAAGCGGTGCATGCGGGTGCATCAACGAAAGTACCTGGAGGCATTGGCTGCCAACTTTGGGCAGAGTGAAGGCCATGTGGCTACACCCTTTCCCTCTGGGTTCAAGTGTGTGAAGGGACCAGAGGAGGAGAGCGTTGGTGAAGAGGAGAGGCGCCGATTTCACTCGTTGGTGGGCAGCCTCATGTATGCGGCGGTAAACACCCGACCGGACGTCGCGTTTGCTACCGGGCAGCTGGCTAGGGTTGTGCAATGCCCTAATGAGGAGCAGGTAGCAGCTGGAATGAGGGTGGCCAAGTATCTTGGCCAAACACCGACCTTTGGGCTGCAATACTCGGCGGCGGCACAAAGGCGCCAA